GCATGTAACTTTTAACAAGATTCACTTGTTTAAAACACCCTAAATTGTATTAACATTTACTATATAACCATTATTTCGCTAATAAACATCTAAATAAATACAACTCTATGGAAATTAATTATTTATTATCTCCGCGAGCGATATCAGTTTGAGTATAGTTCTGTGTTAACTGCACAGAGAAACCGCGCTGTCAGCATGCATTTCATAATCTAGAAGAACAAAAACATTATTAAAGGGGTCATATGATGCTATTTTAAAGATATTATTTTGTGTATTTGGTGTAACAGAATATGTTGACATGCTTTAATGTTCAAAAAACACATTATTTTTCAAATACTGTACATTATTGTAGGTCCTCTATGTCCCGCCTCTCTCAAATGAAGTAAACAGAAGAGAATGACAAAATAACGGTCCACATAACAGAACATAAACCTGACAATAAGATCGTTAGGCTATCGTTAGCCTATATGTATAACAGTTAGCCTAGTTGTAATCTGATCTTCTAATCTGACTGGACAAGAGACTTTCTATTGACATTTCCACTTGTGCGCGTTCTAGACGGGCTGTCAATCAGTGCAGTTACAGTGTTGTGTCACAAGGTGGTGGAACGTGACTGTCATTCAATTACACGTTCAAAAACGCTGATTCATTCATTCAAAGAGACGTAATGAAACACGCTGTTGAAATCATTTTAACTTTGAGCGCCACTTTAGAAGGCTCAGCTGACCAGCTATGACTTAAAAAAAAAAGATGACTGAAAAGAGGAAAAACCAAAGTGAAGTATGTTCTTACTTCACTCAGTCATTTATTTACTTTATAACAGTAAATAAATATCGGTTCTGCATATCGGTTATCGGGCACATAAACATGCAAATAACTGGTATCGGTATCGGTTATAAAAAAACAATATCGATCGATCACTACTCACGTCTCCCTCTCTTTCTCTTGCTCACACTCTGTCTCATATCCTTTCCTTTGCTCCTGTTCTCCTCTTCCGAATCTCATTTGTATTGTTTTCTCAGGTTTAATCCTAGAGGCTCCAGGACACATGCTGCTTCTCCTAAATGGCAGCAATCAATTTTGATTACAGGCCACGGTTAGTTTGAGAAGAGCCCATCAAAGTTTTATTAAGAAGACGGGCGATAATTACAGCCTTGCATGGACCAAAAACCTGGAGTCTGAGCCTTGCTAATGATTGGATGCTGAGAGATAAAATGACGGTTCAGAAGACCTTAATCCAAACTCCGAGAGGACCGGGCACACAATTACTTTAACTGTTACTTGATGAGGACAGTCCCTCAGGCGACTGACGGCTCTCCCGTTCACTCCCCTTGACTGGAATGCTCTTTAACCACAGGGCCGTTTATGGGGAAGGAGATGAAAATGACTCGGTCTGGCACCTCAGAGAAGCTTATCATTATTTCAGAGAAAAGCAATGAAATAAGAAGGACAGACCTTTCCGGGGACCGTTTGTGGAGACAGGCGCCATGTCCATTGACACCTGATAGGTGCCGGATTGGACTCAGACTGAACTCGTAAGCACTTTGGAACTACTTAAAAATGCTTCCTGTTGCAACTTTTGTGCAAAGAAAATACCATCATCAAAGTGCTTTTCTGCACATGACATGGGACTGGCGGGTGCAATATTTCATAGAGGGGTGGGAGAGATGAAACTCTTTAGAAAGACTCTGCTATAATTACACAGTGCAGCTGTAGGGAAATATCAGAGAGGTCTTGGGTAAGACAGATCACATGAGAGCAAGGCAGATCGCTGAAAAAAACATGCCCTCACCAGCCAGCTGGTTCTCTCTATCAGATGCCCTCAGAAGCGAAGTGGATTACTCTGAAGCGTTAACACTCCCGCTCCACTGGGGAGGATTCCTGGGGATGTGCGGACTGTTTGTGTGTGCTGTGTGAATATGTGTACTCACGTCTGACGTCTCTGAAGTAGATGGTCTGTCTGTTAGGGTTGAGGAGCTGAATGACGGAGTCGTCATTGTTTTTGACTCGACAGCTTATGGTGGCTGTCTCTCCCTCCACTACAGAGACATTGTCCGCTATGAGATTCTGGCTTTGGACTGTGGAGGGACAGAGAGAAATAGAGATCAAATTGGAGAATGAAAGAGAGGCAGGTCTAGCCATCTGTCTATCCATCCATCTTATAACTTCTGCTATCTATATACTGTCCATCTGTTAATCCATCTTATGACTTTTACTATCTATCTATCTATCTATCTATCTGTCTGTCTGTCTGTCTGTCTGTCTATCAATCAGCTTCTGTTATCTAAATATCTGTCCGTCCATCAACTTCTAAATCATCTAAAATGTAAAAATCTTCATTTAAATTATAATTGTGATAATTAATAATGAAAAACAACTGCATGAAATTAGAAAAATAGAAATAGAAGCTTTTTTATTAGTGGTCTCAGATATTTGTACCCTAAAGCTAAATTATATAAAGCATCTGCATCATTTTGCTCATCCAATATGCTGTTAGATAAAGGCACTGGGCACTAGTGGGGCCAATGTACAAAATGAAGAAAAACTGGAAAAAAAAACTGGAACCACTGTCCATTTCCTTGAAGCAGAGATGCAGCCTAGCATCATCTAAACCCACAATCTCACACTTACATGAGTGCACAATGAAGAACAGGTGGCAAAACACAGCTAGAGTGGGTGTGAATATCCAGCAGAGTGTTAAAGTGTCCCCCCCACTCTCTTTCCCGCATAGCTTGTGCTTCATGAGATTGCCTGTTTTCATGTTACACATGCTTGGTCCAAATCCCCTCTCTGGATGAGATCACCATGTGATAAGGACCTTGACCGCTTGACCCAAAACAGAAATGTATACCATTAAACGGGATAGTACAACCAAAAATGAAAATTCTGTCATCATTTACAGTATTCACCTTTATGTTGGTGTATAAACTTCCATGACTTACTTTCTTCTATGGAACACCTGACTTTAAAATGAGGTGTTCCACAGAAGTAAGTCAGTCATAGAAATTTTGGGGTGAACTGTCCCTTTTAGAGTCAGATAATTCACAGCTGAACTATATTTTTGATCCCTGAGGGAAAAAACAAACAAAAAAAACCCCCACCTAAAATAACACCCCACAGCTGCCTACCCTGCAGAGCTAAGAGGAAAACATGAATAGGCTAAAGCTGGAGATAAATAAATATATTAATGTGAAATGTGACATGTGACATGACTTTAAGAGTCCATCGAATGCTAATTTGCATGCCTCAGTTGTCAGGCACCTCTAAACAGCCCTGTCACCTAAAGCAGAAGGGAAGAAAGCAATCAGATCATGTGATGGCGACAGATAAGGGGAGACAGTTTAACAAAACTGAACTCAATCAGCCTGCCAGTAGCACAAAGTCAAAACAGAGCAAAACAAATGAACCTTGCGCAGGAGCGACTTCCTTAAGACTCGTCAAAGGGGATAAGGTGTGGATTGAGAGGACTGGATTGGAAATGCAAATAGAAGGCTGTTTATCCCAGAGAGGGGTTACAGATGAAGGTTAAGCATGCTACAGCGGTTGTCACGGACACTGCGCTAAATACTGGCCACTCCGTGGCCGTTCAGCTGGTGGGTGGTAATCATGCTAAGTGACAGAAGATGCATTGAAAGGGTAAACACATACATGAGCACGCACTGCAGCCATGTTTGGCAAGCTCAATAGGAAAAAACAACCTTTAAGCGTGTTAAAGCTAGCTGAGGTGGGGAGGGTGAGTAGTGAGGAACAGAATACTAAATTAAATCATTAAAATATTCACTTGATAACCATAAAATGTTCTTCTATATCTCCTCCTCTATCAAGTATATTTCTTGTCTCCCCCCCCCCCTCCTTAGTTCATATCCAAACCTCACATACCCTCATTGAGAATCCCATAACTCCAATCTTGGCTGAGCACTGCAATATTTTGAACTTAAATATTGCTCAAAAAGTCATTAAAATGTAGAGTGTACGTGATAACTCAACTTACATGTAATTAGCTAGTTCTGTGTTTACTTTGCTCAACTCTGGGGTGATGAGCTGGATGCCATTTTGTTGTGTGGGATGCGAGCGCTGATTCTAATCATCAGCAGACCTCCAGAGACACCGCGCATCTCCTTTACTTCTAAAAAGTTTTGCGGAAACTTTGGCAACAAATCTTAGTGAGATATCATTTAACTATTCATGCACTGGAAAGCAGATGTTTACCCAACAGCAGAAAACCATGAGGCCTATTTAGAAAAAAATACTACAGGAACAGACATGAACCACTAGGGTATGCCAATGAGTCAAACTCGATGAGGAAAAAGGGTGAACATGTTAATTACATTCTGGCATGCTCTCTGTTGCTTTTACATCTCCAAAATGTGTTAGTGTATGAGAGCTATTCCATGATAAGAGTAACATTCGTGTCCACAGAACTTTTTTTTTTTGCCCTCGACTTAATAGCATTTGTTATTAAGAGTTTTGCAACCTTCAATTTAAATTTTAAAATTTTATTTTAAACATTCTATTGAAAATATAATTTCACATGATGAAAATATTTTCAATAATGTTTTTATAAATATTTGAAACTTTAAATTGTATTATTTTTTTTAAAAGTGTCACTATAAAATGCAGATTTGTTACGTGTTTTGCAAGCTTTAATATTAATTGCAAATTAATTTTAAACATTCTACTGAAGATATTCTGTGATGTTAATTTAGTTTTAATCATGACATGGAATTATTTTCACTAAAATGTTTAAAATTTGTTTATAATTAAAATTTAAGCTTTCAAAACAATTAACACATTTGCATTTATAAAATGCAAATTTGCTGTGTTTTTTTAGTTTAAGTTTTTAAATAAAAATGAGTTTGAATCATTCTACTGAAAATATTTAATGTCATGATTTTTTTTCATTAATCTGTTTATAAATATTTAAAACTGTTTTATTAAAAATGTGCCTTGATAAAATGCTAATTGGTTTTCACATTCATACAAGATCAATCACACTAATAATATATATTTTTTATTAATTTAATTTAGACACATCAATCATGAGACATTACTGTAACATCTAATATAATATAAAAATAATGATAAATATTAAACAAAAATGCACAACACATGCACAAATATTGTAGAAAAAAATGAAAATAAATATGTAACATTTTGGATTCTTTATTTTTTTTTTTGGAGCACACTGTAACACAATATATAAACTAACTATTTAGAATAGTCTTGGCAAATACAAAACATATGTTAATATTCATGTTCCTAGGTACCTCTTATTATGAAAAACTGCCCTAGCTACATTAGCAGTTAAGTAAATCTTGTGCTGGGATCATACTGTATTAATAAAGGGATTAAACTTGTTTAGGCCCCAAATTATTATTGATTATTGGCGTGCAGCTTGGTTTAATTAAGATAATTGTTTGTGTCACTGGAGCTGGAACAAGTGAGCGAATGATGAATTCCTATTTAAGTGACGATTTCATTAGCCTAATGCTCAAGCAAAGACCATCAAAAAAGGGTCCATGAAAAAAATTAGCTTTCCGTGCATGCATCAACAACAAACAAGGCATCGCAAAAATGGCAAAGAAAGTTGTGTGCTGTGCATTTGCATAACTTGTTCAAACAGATCTGTGACATTATCTCTGTATTTAATTACTGACATTCAAAATAAGTAGCACAGAACATTGATCATTTTGGTCTAGATTAAAGCTGTCAGAGGACGATACTCCACTCTCAGTGAGGCAGACAAGCCATTTATACCACTACAGGCCCGGCACCACCCCAGCACCCCTCATACATCAACCCAGAGGAACACCCAGAGCGCACGCGCGTGTGTGTGTGTGTGTGACACGGAACAGGCTAATGCAGGAGTGCACTGCCGTGCTGTAAAGGTCAAAGCACTCTACTGTCCGCCTCAATAGCTCATCCTGCCTGCTGCACTTTTTTAAACAGCATGTGCGAGTGAGGAAAACCACGGCTTTGAATTAGATCTGAATGGCGATGACTGTAAAAGAGTGATATCCACGTACACCTGTGAGCCAGAATCAGTGAGAGGATATGTGATATCCATCACTATTCTGAGCCGCAAAGGTCAGCTTTCGTGCTTGAATATTACAGTCCGGCTAATAGAGGAGAACTCCATGGTTCTGGTACTATGTGTTCAGAGAGTGTTGAACTTTCGAAGCAGGATTTTCATTTGTGTGAACTTCCTTTTGAATGATTGCACATAGGAAAGTAAAATCACAAATGAGATCGCTATAATATCTGCCGAGTTTGAATGGAGATCAAAAGGAGACTTCTGCTTAATGAAATTCAACTCAAGTCACCAGCAATCTCACATGTTCCCTAGACAGTTTCAGAAGAGATTTCATTAATGTCTCAAATTGTGCTCAGATCTGACAAGAAAGCTGCAATCAAATCTGAGGAATAAGTCTCCTAAGGATTTTTTTTCAGCAGTGTCACATGATCCTTCTGAATTCATTCTAATTTACTGATTTGGGACTCAAGAAACATTTATAAGTGTTGAAAATGGTTGTGCTGTGGAATGTGTCTGTCTAATAATTTTTTGTGAAAACCATGATACATCTTTTTTTTATTTTTTAGAATTATTTTATTAATAGAAAATTCAAAAGAACATCATTTATTTTAAATGGAAATCTTTTGTAATATTATACATGTATTGACTGTCTTTTGATCAGTGCAATGCATCCTTCATAAAAGTATCGATCTTTTACTGACAATTAACTTTTTACCAGTACTGCGCACTTCAAGTTTAGTATGCATGCTTAGTATGTTAAAGAAATAGTTCACCCAAAATTAAAAATACTGCTCATCACACAGAATTATTATATGACTTCAGAAGACCACTTATATGGTACTTTTTAAGTATAAGTAAAGGAGCAGTCAGGATATGCTTAAAAAATGCGAAACAACATCATTTCCTGTTTGTTGCTGTCGTGTGTTTTGAGTTTGAGCTCCGTCAAGTTAATTCTTTATCGTCTATTTTTTATCTTAAAATTTATTTTATACACCATCATTTTCGTTTATATAACGTGTGAATATATCCCCTATCGTATTCTAC